TTAATGTACACTGTGGTGACCATAGTTAATAATATTGTATTGCATATTTCAAAGTTGCCCAAAGAGTAAATCTTAAAATTTTTCACAAGAAAAATACATTTTGTAACTATATATGGAGACAGATGTTAACTAGACTTATTGTGGTGATCATTTTGCAATATACACAACTATCAAATCATTATGTTATATATCTGAAACCAATAAAATGTTGTATGTCAATTATAATCTCAATATTTAAAAAAAGAAGACTCTAGTATCCTCTGGTTATCTTTCAATTGCTTTTGCATAATCATGCCAGCTTCATGTATTCTAGGAACGGTATAATCGTCCAGGAAGTATTGCTTGAAGATATCAGAAATCTCAAAAGAATGGCCACTAGTAGCATCAGAGTCTCAGCTCTGTCACTTCCCAGCTGTTTGACCTTGAGCAAGAACCTTTACCTCTATGAGCTTTGGTATCCTCATTTCTAAAATGTACTTAATGTCTTTCCTACCACCCACAGTTGTTGTAAGGATTGAAGTGTAATAGCATATTATCAGGATTAGCAATTTTATGCTGCAAGTAAACTCTCTATTTTGTAGGCCACTAAGGTTGTGTCCTACGACTGGTGTCTTCTCAGTGCCTATGAGGAGTATCTTCTGAAATCCCCCTTTGACAGGAACAGAGTTCAGATGCCACACTCAGGGGTGGTGCAGGCTCAAGGTGGAGGAGAGAAAGTGTCCAGGTTGAGTCAGGGTTATGTGTATAGCACCAAATCTCAGAAAGGGAGACTTGAACACTAAGTACTCAAATCTTAAAATTGGAACTCAAGACTGATCAATTTTTTCCTTTTCTCTCCCCCTCCTTTTTTCTCTTTTCTTCTCTTGTCATTTCAGGTGCATGATGACTGCAGGAGACGGTTTTCCAAGGAATGCTGCTTTGGAAGTCATCGAACATCAGTCATTCCTCCCACTGCCCTAAGCGACCCTAAAGGAGATGGTGAGTAGCTAAACTTTAACCTCAGAAATAACACTGGAGAGGGAGAGAAGGTAAAAAGAATTGGGAAGAGGACTGTGGTTAAATTATTCTACTCGACCAGTCAAACATTCAAACATTTCTGGGGAGTAGGAATGTGCATATGTGTAGAAACAGTTCATGTCTCTTTAGACCTTTGGGGTGGTAAATGTTGATGTTTACGGCATGTACGTATGCAGGCATGTTCTCTGTAGCCTCTGTCACAATTGTTTCTGAACGATTAGGATTTCAGCTTTTTCACAATTTCCAGATACTAGATAATCCATGAAATAAGTTTGTTTGCATTTAGGTGGTTAAGGAAGACCTGCATGAAGACCCAGGTTATATTCCTTTTAAAAATAAAACTAACACCAAGGTTGTCCCCAAATCTGAAACTAACATGATCATTGGCCCAACATACTCCATTGATGTTTTGTCAATTCCTGGGCATCAGTGATTTATTAAGAACTCTATTTAAAAGCTATTTGAAAGCTTCAAAATGATCCAAGATTTGGGCATTGTCAGAGCTTATAGTTATTTTGGATAGTGCTATAATATGACAATTGACAAATTAAGGTAACATATGCTAAGTGCCAAAGGAGTGGTAGAGACACTTGGAGATAAGAAAATGTTAGGAATGTCAACTAATTGTAGGGCACAGAAAGGATGTAGTAATGAAATCAATACAGTAAGAGTAAACATTGTACAGATTCATCTATCAAGAGGTCTAGACACCTCTAACATCAAGAGATGTTCGAACAGAGAAAGCAGGGGTAAAGAAGAGGGATGTTTTGTTTAGTTCTGTGTTTGTTTTTAAGAATAGGTGAGACATGAAGAAGCATAGTGTAAGAGGAAAAGCAAGGGCCATGCAACCATGAGTTTATTAGTCAGTTACTAGCTAGGTGCACTTGGGTAAGTCACTTAAATTCGCTGAGCTATCTCTTTCCTCATCTGTAAATGGGAATGATACTGTATATTGTGATGATAAGTGATAATACGTAAAGGGCCTAAATATCCAGAAATGGCCCCAAAAGGACCACAAAACTAAATCCCACTTCTTCTAGCCTAATGAAAACTGTAGATTCCCACAGGGATAATTTGCTCTTTAGCACTTATTAATGATGTCTTTTTTAGTTCACCTCTCCTTCCCTATCTTTTCTTTGCTTCTTCTGAGAGGCTCTCCTTTCTACCACTGAGTTGTTCATTTGCTTCTCCATTACTCATTAAAGAAGATGATCTTTCAAGATCAAAATCATATCACAGCTAAAAAGACCTGACCTATTTTAACAACACTACCAAGTTTAGAAATCTAATATATTTACCAACTGACATGCTACTATTTCATTAATCCAGGAAAGAGATACACTGCCCATTAATTTCAGTTTGTGTATGGTTAGTTTTATTCTGTATGTGGTCAATTTCACTTACTGGAAGAAAGTTCCAACCCTTCCCAAATGTTTAATGTATATTTCACTAATATGTTAATTTATCCATCTCTGACATGTGGGAAGTGATTAGTGAACCAACATTTCTTTGACTTAACTATTATTCCTATATTGATGCTTGCTGCCTACTTCATTGCCAAGAAAGAGTCTGCATTAGCTGGGAGCAAAGAAAGGAAAAGAAAGGTTTATAGTTTCCTTGGTCAGAGAATGGAAGGAGACAAAGGTTCCTGTAGCCATTTACAACACAGTCTTAGAATGAGACATAACACATGTGCCTATGTGTGCACATATATGTACATATACTCAGAGCCACTGTAGTCTCTTCCAGTTTATTTTCCAACCCTAACAGATGTAGACATTGGTACATGAAATGAGCCATTCACACAGGCTTCTTTAGGCAAGCATACTCATATGTCCCATAATAATAGGCACAAACAAAAAGCTAACATTACTCAAGGATGCATGTATATATTATTTTCAGATCTACTCAAATATTTCTCCAAATATTTCTCACATATTAGAGTTGCCTACCAGATAGTTGACTATAGAGGTGCCGAGATTGATGAGCCGGTAAATAAGAGTGTTCAAGTGGGTAGAAGGAAGAGACTTGGAGAGAGATCAAGTTCATAGAAGAGGAAAAGCAGCAAACTAGTCAGCTGAGCAAACTCAGGCTGCTAATGAAAGTCAATCTAGTCTTGAATCTAAAACTGCTCACCTCCACAGGGACTTGGGGAAAATGTCTTTGAGAAGACTGATGAATATCTGCCTTAGCATCTCACAAATCACCCCAAATAGGTGTTAAGGGGCTGCCACTTATCCTTTGTGATTGGCCCAACAGAATCTGTGCTTCCTGTCCTTGTAGAAGATTTTTTTGTTTTGTTTGTTTTTTTTCTATCCTACATCACTTCTTATTCTTGTTATAGATTGTCAATTAATGGCATTACAACTTTCTTTTGCTTTCTACCAATAACATAATATTATTGCTTAGAAGCACCTGGGCTAAGCCATTCTGTGTGTAGTGGCTTATCTAATTCCCCATGAGATAGATTTTAGCCTTTCCTCCTATCACTTGCAATCTTGATTCAATTGAATCTCACTCTTGAGAACCCTTATTTCTATCATATATTATTTGGCCTGTGATTTCTTAGAACTGTCTTCTAAGACCTCCCTATTTTTTTACTCTTCCTGGCTTTTCGGCCTAGGCAAATATGTTGTTTAATGGATAGGTTTCCTGTTTGGAAGTCCTACTTCATCTTCGAGATGGTAAGTTCCTTAAAAATGATCTGGTCCAACCCCTCTGGCCAGGCTAGGGAATCCCTTCTCCAGCCTCCAGGGTGGAGGCATTCAGCTGATGACTTCCTGAGGAAGTGCTTGCCATTGCTAAATAGCACCCATTCATTCATTCATTCATTCATTCAATAAACAGACTAATTTCTGAGAATGCTTTCTAATTACCCTTTTTTCCTATCCAGTCTGCTTGGTAAATTCCTTCTCTCATTTTATAGGACGAGAACAAAATCAAACATTATCTCTTATTTGAAGGCTTCTGTAATTGGCCCTCCTCACTTTCCCAGATTACTTTCTTTGCTGTAAACCTGGAACCAATATCTCAGAGCACCTAGCATGCTATATTATATAGTCCATCGCACATCTGTCACCCAGGCCAGACTGAATTCTCTGTCCCTAGAACTTCACTCAGACCTGGGTACAAGGTATAGGCACAGACAAGATTGTTACATGAATTCATTAATATATTTATGGAATACTGCCTACATGTAAGGCTCAGTGACAAGCAATTTAGAGAATAAGAGATGACTAAGACAGCATCCCTGATTCATATGTAAGCAAAAGAGTATAGTGCAGTGGTTGTCAAATGTAAGAATGCATCAGAATAATCTGAAAGGCTTATTAAAATACAGATTTCTAGGCCCTACCCTCAGAGCTTTTGATTCAGTAGATCTGAGTAGGGCACAAGAACTTGCATTTCTAACAAGTCCCCAGATGTTGCTGATACTACATTCTTGGGAGCACATTCCATCATTTACTAACTATGTGAGGCTCAAGTTACTTAACATCTCTGTGCTTCATCTGCCATATGTTTTCTGACAATAGAGAAAAATAGTTGTACTCAGGTACATTATGAGGGTTAAATGAGTAAACATTTGTAAAGGAGGATTTTAAAATTCAGGAAGGGAAACAGTTGGCCAACCTTATGCTAATTTAACATCCTTATGTGGTATGAAGCGAACAAATTTGGGAGGGACTTTTAGCCCCCTGATTTGGGGCACTGCGGTTATATTAATGTAGTTCAAAAAAACATGCTTTTTCTAAAAGGCTCTTTCAGGCTGTTGACTCATCTGGACCTTAAAGTCAACTAAATCCCCTAAGCCCTTTTCATTCTTGACACTATCAAGCCAAGTTCCTATTGTCCTGTTCTGCTGAAATTTATGTCCTTG